GCCTTGCCCAGTGTGAGCTAGCGCGGATCTGGCGCGGTGCGATCGGAGCAGGCTGATTGGGCCGGTAGGGTGGCGGGGTGGGGAAGGGGGGAGGGGAAGAAGAAAAAAAAAAGAGGATTTGGGGGGGTGTGTGGGGTCCGACCCGCTTCGGCGGGGCGCAGGCGAAAGCTACCGTGGAAACAAACCCCCGTTCTTGTAACTACGGCGTGCGCCAGCGAAGCTTTCGTTTCCCCCAGCTTTTTTATTTTTTTTTCTAAACGAGGAGTACGGAGTATACGGGATGAGTTGACTCGCAACTCTTTGTCGAAGCGCGCGAAGAAAAAAAAAAAAAAAAAGCTTCCCGGCTCAACGGTTCCCAGATACGTTTTCTCTTCGCGTATATGCATGACGTCGGGTCGTATTCTCTTGTTGCTCATTAAAAGATTATTATCATCTTCTTATCAGCATGCTTCGTCGTAGTTGACATGTACGTCCATCCGTTCCCACCCCCCGTCGGGCTGGATCACACCGAACTGCTGGTTCCTGGGACCAGGGTCAGTCGGCGTCGTCGCTCCGTTGGCTGGTTGGCTGGCTGGCTGTGGAAGTGTGGCTGGAGCAGGCAGGTATTCAGGGCGGACGTGCGACAATAATGCGCGCGGCTTTTTTGATTATTATTAACATCAACTAACCACTCCGTAATTAGTTCAACTAACTTACTACTACTAGCCAACGTTCGGTTCGCCGCCTGGCTGGCTCGAAACTCTTTTTGCACTACTTTTTTATCTTCATCACTTTTCTGCTTTTTCTGTTTTGGCTTTTTCACCGGTCCCGCAGGGCGAAAATTGCCTTTTCTGTCTCTCTCTCTCTCTCTCTCTTTTCTCTCTCGGCTATTTCCGACAAGACCATCGATATTCTTTTTTTTTTCGTTTTGCTGTCCCGTGCGCGATCAAATCTGAAGCGCATCAAATCCTCGTATTCCCGACCCCCGGTAGCTAGCTAGCCAAACTGCTTTAAACGACATTATCACCCAAGAAAAACGTTGCTGCAAGAAAGAAGCAGGTCACACCCCGTGACTTGTGAAAATGCGATCCAAACGGATAAATCAAACGCCTGTAGACTACAAACTTGACCGCTCACATTTTCCCGCCCAGCCAGGCAGGCAGGCAAGAGCGGGCTTGACTTGCGGATAGTTATGGAGCCCTGTCCAAGCAAGGAACAGCGCAAAAAATCAAATAGAGTAAAAAAAACAAAATAAGAACGGACAGGCCGAATCCCTGCGCCGACTCCGCATAGCTGAAGCCCGCTGGCATACGGAGTAGCTTCGTTATTATTATCCTCGAGTACTCTCTGGTCTGGCCGGGGGGGAGGGAGAGTGAAAGCGGGGGGGTGGGCTGTCTGGCCTTATCGATAGTCGGCAGTCTAAGCGACACCGCAACAACGACCATCTAACTACCATCCCGCGACAACGAGCGGCAGTCCCGGCTTCTCTCTCTCTCCCTCTCCCTCCCTCTCTCTCTCTCTCCTCGGAAAGCGCCAATCTTGGTGGCTTTTTCGCTCGTTTCAACCCAGTTCGCCCCCAAGCGGTTTCTGACGGGTGTCCCGGTTTTTTGGCAGCGGGCGCGCGCAGTGAAACACGTCAGGCCGGGGGGCCGATGGGTCGAAAAAAAAAGACCGTGTATTCAACGGAGCACGAAGTACGGAGTACGGAGTAGATGAGACCGTTTCCCCCCTCTTTCGTCCTGCTAATTATATTATATTAATACCAGCTTCATCTTATTCTTCTTCCAACAAGCCCCCCTGCAGGGAAGGTTTCCGAAGCTCAAGAAGCGTTTGACTACCGGTTTTTGCCCAGTGCTAGTAGTTGCGGGCTCGACCGTTCCTTGCCGAGTCTCAGAAGGGAGGGGGGGGGGGAAAGCCAAAAAAAGGAACGAAGAGAAAGTGGGCACTAGACTTCCAGCGATATATCCCTGATCGACGTTAAGTTAGTTAGTTTATATATATCGCGAAGCTATCCGGGAGACTGTGTTCCCCCTGCCCACTACGCTGTCCGACTGTCAGGGCAACCCAGCCCGCCCAGATCGCTCGCTCACATCTTGTTTTTGGCGGGTTCCGCTAAGGGAAGAGAGGATAAAACAAAACGATTCAATAAATAATAGACTTGTCTTTGAACCGGCTTGAGCTTCCCGCGAGAAGAGCCGCGCGGGTTTCACGGTGTCTCATCCAATCCCACGTCCAGAGCTCAGGCGTGGTGGTGGTGGTGGTGGTAGGATTGCAACAACCCGGGTGTTTGCGGGGTACGCCGTAGATGGGTGAGCACCAAAAAAAGGACGTCGTCTAAGAGCCGTTCCCCATAATAATTCCCCATCGCAAAGGCTGGTCGGAGTCTAAACGGGTTAAGGCTCTGGCGCTCCGCCATACAGCGTGCAGAGCGCAGGGCATGTGCGGGCGATCGCAGGGCCTGACTTGATACCGTTCTTTCGTCGTTGAGGTTGAGAATCCGGGAACGAGACGAAGTCAAAATGGGGCACACTAGCTAGCCAACTGGTCCTTTCTGGTGGCACCGGGTGTCTGGCGGGCGTGCTTCCCGGGCGAGAGAAAGAGAGGTGGTGGTGGTGCCTGGGCTGTTAGGAGAGACCACCACCACCACCACCACCACGGGATGCTCGCCACCGGGGCTGCGACAGCCAGGCAGCGAGACCGCCAGCGCCAGCGCCCACGGCGAGTTCTCCGTGTGGTGCCATAAATAAGAATGAGTTCACATTAGAGCCCCCCAACGGTCACGCCCTACGGTGCGGCGGGCAGCGCTGGGCGCTCGCTAACAAGGCAATAGTCGGTGCGGCGGTGGTGGCGAGTGTCTGTGGCTGTCGAGCGAGAGAGAGCGAGAGAACGGCGACCACCACCACCACCACCACCATCCATCAGATCGCTCGCTCGGGCTATCTCAACCCGCCACGGCGACAGCGCGACGGTCGACGGTCGACGAGTCGACTCACTAACTACTAACTGCGCGCGCCTCCTGTCTCTGCCGGCTCGCCGACTATCGGCTTGGCCCCGATGACGCGAGATTTTGACTTGGTTAGTGACTGGCCCCGATCGGACCGCCGTGGCGAGAATCAGCCAGCGACTGGCTGCACGCCTGCCCGGGTCATGCGCAATAATGATACACAACAGACGGCCAGGACGTGACGCTGCGGCCAGCGCAACACGAACGTTCTCTCCCCTCCCCGGCCCGCGCGCGCGCCGTTGGACAAACGGGGATAACGGGCTGCCCTGCCCTGCCCTGCCCTGCCACATACGCAGGACATAACTACATGCCACCGCCTGCTATTGTGTTTTGTTATGCTATTATGACTCGTTATCATCGTGATGCCCGCTGGGTCTAATCGCCTGACGCCTGATCATCCCATCCCCCCCGGCCGTATCACCGCCAGACCACACCGTGTGATTCCAGAACGGAACCCACACGTACCCCCCCCGATACCACGCTTCCGTCTCTTACTACCTCTACTATTATTCCTCCTGATGACCAGGGACGTGCGTGTGTTTCATCACCATCGTCATCATCATCATCATGCCTGCCTACCTGCCTGTCTGCCTCGTGGGGCCCGCCTCTTTGCATACCCGCCCAACGCGCCCCCTTTGAAACACCCCAACTGCGGTGGTGGATGCTCCCCCCCCCCCCCCCGCTTTGCTTGCTCTCTGCTCTGAAGGAACAAACTACACCCGGCAAAAAATAACAATACCCCCCCCCCTTTTTGTTTTTGCCCAACGACCGCGACGGCCCTTTGCGGTGGTTACGGGCTTGGAAGCCTGCAATAGACGCAGCCTGGCCCCGTCGAGCCGCCGCCGGCGTCTGCTGCGGCGGCGTTTTCGTCCGTCTGGCGGCAACAAGACCATCAAAACATTACGTTTTTTTGTCTTGTGGGTAGTTCCTCTACTCCACACGCCTTTGCTTTCCCACTTTTTTTTTCCTTTTCTTTTCTTGCAATAGAGCGTGGGGAACCGCGTCTGCATGTCGTCCGTCGTTCGTCGGGCTTTGGCCACCATGGACATGGCGGTGAGAGAGAGTAAAAGAGAGAGAAAGACACAGAGACAGAGAAGTGATCCCTGTCTGTGTTTGATGATCAAACATGAAAGATGTCGGCATTTACCCATAGTGCTCACACTATATCCTGGTTTGTCTTGGAAGCCGCTCAGTATTTCTAATATCCGCCTTTTTTCTAGGCCCCGGCCTGAAAAGGAGGAAAAAGGAGCTGGCCCATCATTTCCCCCCTCCCGAAAGCATTGTTGCCCTCTCGTCAAAATCCTCCCCTTCTATGCATAGCGTAATCATGTTTGTCTGGGCAGAAACCCTCACTTTCGCCGTCTTGATTCTATACTGATCTAGTAACAGGTATAGGAGATGTAGACGAAACAAAAAAAAAAAAAAACAAGAAGGAAGGAATACAGGTGGTACGGCCAGCAGGAAACGCAAAAGCCAAAAGCACTCTTTCGATTTATAAAACAAAGGTACGCAAAAGAACACTCAGGGGGATCCAACCAAGGGATTCTCTCTTTAAGCAGATATGCAGTACTGGCTGGCCGACACTCACATAACTAGAGATAGATAAGACATAGGAAATTAGAATAGTAAGGAGAGGGAAAAAAACTGCGGGTGGTATAACGGGGAGATAGGGACACGACATTTTTTGACATAAGACATGATGAAAAGGTAGCTAGGCAGGAATAGAATACCAAGCCCATTGGGCAAGAGATGCAGGAGGAAAAAAAAAACAGATATTACAAAACAGTCATAGATGGACCAAAAAGAAAAAAGAAGAGAAAAGGGAATAACAAAACCAGTGTTTTGGGATGCGGTCAACAGCCCAAATCACCATGAAGTCCTCGCGCCCGCTTCAATAACGTCAATGAAAAGGAAGGAAAAAAAAAAAAAAGATGAGGGGGCCAGCAATTAAACATAAATCAATCATGTAGAGGGAGGGAAGAGAACCTGTTCATAAAGGAAAAAAAGAAAATCCAACTCAAAGCCATATATCCCCCTCTTCTCCATCAACCCATTTACTCCAAACTGCCTCATACGCCGACTCCACATCGTTCACCCATCTCTTAGTATCAAACAGCTTGCTCTCCCACCGGTTCAGAAACAGCATCTTGCGCAGCTCGAACAGCCGGCCCGACGCCCGCCCGAGGCCGCCGGCTTCGTACTTCATCTCCAGCCCCAGCCGGATGGCATTGTTCTCGTACTCCTCCTCCGAGGACGTGATCAGCTCGGCGGCGGCGTCGCGGCCCGCCGCGTTCTGCGGCAGCGCGCTGGTGAGGATGCTCGACGCCATGCGCGAGCACATCTTGTACTTGTAGCGCGGGAACGTGATGAGCGGCGTGCCGCTCCACAGGATGTCCGCCGACGTCGTGTGCGCGTTGCACTCCGGCGTGTCGAGGAAGAGATCGCACACCCGCGCCCGCGAGATGTGCGCGTGTTTGGGCGCCACGTCCGTGAAGATGATGCGTGACGCTGTGGCTTCGCCCGCCCACGCTACCGCGGACTGTCGAAGATTCTGCTCGCCTAGATCCGGGAATCGGAGCAGCCAGAGAATCGCATTCGGGAGGCGCGCGAGGATGCGCAACCAGCTTCTGAATGTAGTCGGTTCAATCTGAGTTTCGAGAGTTAGCATCCACCCATCAAGTAGTATATCAAGAAACCGGAAACTCTAGACATACCTTATACAGCTGATTGAAATTCCCCAGAATGATCGCATCATCCGGCAAACTCGGAAACAACTCCTTCCTCATCTCCCACCTATTCCGCTGCTCCTCATCCCACGTTAAGCGCTTGCCCTTGGCGTCCGGCGCGCTCTGGCGATGATCGCAGCAGAAGAAAGTATGCCGTGTGAACACCACCCGCTCGCCATACACCCAGTCCTCGGTGTCTTCCGCATGATCCGCCTCGAACAGCCGATCCTCCAACCTAACGCTGCGCTTACGCGGGGAGAGCGTCTCCGGCGGTATCGACAGCTGATCGGACAGGATGTAGTCGCACCACTCCGCGCCCAGGGACCCCGCGAACCCCATGAACGACATATGAATCGGCGCCGGCCGCGCAGCAAACACTTCATTTCGCGCTCCGCGCGTATACCCGTTCAGATTGACCAGGATGTGAATCCCATCGCTGACGATCTGCTCGACGATCCGATCGACAGACCAGCTGCTGACGTCTCGAAATACGGGGGCCTCGCGTTCGATCTGCTGCCGGTGGACGGAATTGTCGCTGGCGGTAGTCGCGTAGCAAAACGCCTTGACGCGCCGCGGGTTGTGCAGGCCGAAAACGGACTGCATCAGATGCGCCAGAGGGTGGTTGTTGAAGTCGGACGACACATAGCCAACATTGAGATGCGGGTTTGGAGGAGCCGGAGGCCGGTAGACGGTGGAAGGCAGCCAGGGCGACCGCAGCGTCGAGCACGATATCCGAAGCCCATTGCGTTGCGAGATATGACGGATTTGCTTGGCCGACAGAGGGCATGTAAACGTGTGGAATGGCAGGACAGTTGGCGCAGTAGGCGGCGACAGCCCGCTCGGCAGATGCGGGCGAGTGTATTTCGACAGGTTATACTCGACTCGCCGCACGTATCGGTCCTGGTACCATTGCCAGGCAATCCACCGTATGGCCCTCTCGATGAGCCGCACCACCCGAGACCCTTCCCATTTCTTGCCCGCCCACGACTGCAGAATAGTCTTCAGCGCAGCTTGCTTCGCAGCAACAACCTTGTTCTCCTGGGTCGCGGCAAAAGTTTGGTAGAAGCGCTCGATAGACAGGGTCTGCAGCACGCCACAGCCCCATACCTCGCCGTCCTTGAGCTGCTTATCGACAATATCAACGACGCGCGTGATCCAGCCGGAATCTACACCCATCTCCTTCGCCTCGCGCAGCATTCCCTGATCATCGACGTGCCATCGATCCCTTATTCCCCGACTCATCGAGATTCCGCCTCTACCCGTCCAATTGCACACGGAGTTCAAGGCATTCGCCAGTCCGCAAACAGCTTCCGCGAAATTCGGGTTGGCATTGACCGCCCGTCGATAGTACCCGATCGCATCGTTGACGCGCCCGGAATCCTTCACCGCATTCGCAAGATTGGCCAGGGCAATATCAAAGTTGCTATCGCACTGCACCGCTTGCTCGTACATCTTGATCGCCGCGGGGAGCTGGCCGATATCTTTGAGTAAACTGCCAAGGTTAGTGTAGAGATGAGCATGCTTTGAATCGAGATTCAATCCGTAATTGTAATAAGCCAGCGCGAGGGCAATGCCGCTGCCGGGAACGACACCGGGGATGTCAGGAAGTTGACTTTCGCCCGCGATGCGAGTCGTCTTTGTGCTGCCCGTGGTCTGGATGCTTGCAAGCAGGATCCCAACATTATTCGCCGTCGATGGACTAGGCTGCAGGGAGAGCGAAAGATAGTAAAGCGCAAGGATATCTCGCACGCCAGGAGTCACCTTCGGCGCGCCTGACGCCGAGGAGCTCGACATGCCATCCTGGTAGATCTTCGCGAGAGACAGAAGCGAGTTGCTCGTTGTCGAAATCGCCGCTTTCTTACTCATCCCCTCGGGCACGAAATGCAGGCCCGGAAGCTGCCCATTCTGCGGAAAGACTAGCTTCGCCGTCAGCAACGCCCGGTCGGGGAAGAGCAAGACGGTGTTCCTGGATACCCGATGCGTCGAGTCCGAGGGGATACCGTGCCGTGCGTCATCGCTATACGCATCCAGAATCTTGCGAATAAGGCCCTTTATGCTCTGTGTCCGGCCTGCGCCGACTAAAATAGCATCTTCAAATGCCGCCGCTGCGCCAGCATTGTCCCCTAGAGCATAAAGCATATTTCCCTTGGCGTGTATTAGGGCCAGCATTCTCCCGTTATCCGACCCTGGGATCGCATATCCGCTCGATCCAAACCCATCGGCAGTTTTCTTCACCGGGTACGAGTTAAACGCGAGCGGGCTGTGGATGTCGTCGTGGTAATCCAGAGCAACCTTGTCTATGGATTCGACGGCTGAGACAATTGATTCTCTGCCTTCCGATTCGCTTCCGGATTCGTCATCGGCATCCTTCGCTCTGAAACAATCGCCGTTGGACGTCGGTCGAAGGGCCTGTTCCACAAACTGGATTACGTTAACAGCGTCTTTGCCACGTTGGCTGCTGCACAGAAGGCCAACAAGGTGCTCAACGGCTTCGAAGTAGCTTGGTCGTAATTTAATCGCCCGGAACCAATGCTCGAGAGCGTCGTCGCGTCGTTCCAAGGCGAGAAGCGTGGCGGCGAGATTAGATATAGCCTCAACGTGTCTGTAAAATAACTAGTCAGTCCAAACACACACATCAACATCAAAGAACTCAAACGAAAACGTACGAAGGATCTTTCGTAATTATTCGATTGTACCAGCGCATAGCCTTCGGATAATCGCCCAGCCCGTAGGCAAGACATCCTCCAACCAGCATGCCGTCGATCCAGTCCCAATTACTCTCGATGCACAAACTCGACAAAATCTCCAACGCCGAAGCAGCTTTTTCCGCCGCAGACACTCCTTTAAACGCCGGGTTGGGCATGCGCGGCACCGCCGCCGCAGACGACCGACGAACTGCCCGGAATCCGTCGAGCTGCTGAGCAAAATGGCCGCGCCCGTCGTGGTCACTTTGAGGGAATCCGAACTGGGAAGACGTGAAATGGGCTGAATGGCGGCGGGAATCCATGGGGGGACCAGCTGGGGCGGCGGCATGTTGCTGGGGTATTTGGAATGGGAGCGAGCGGTGGTTTTCAAGGACCGGTTGTTGCGAGCTGAAATCGGAACCAGGCTGGCGGGGGGGCCGGGGGAATATGCATGGCTTGTTCTGGTCGCGCGATCCCGCGCCGGACGTTCCCTGGGCGGTGTTTTTCCTTCGAGCGCTATGCAGCGAGGCTAGTAAATCAACATAAACACTGTGAGCCCATGCTAATATCTTTTCTTTAAATTCTGCATTCCGAGGTCTCTGGGCGGCGCCTTGTACTGGGGCATGTAGTGGAATAGGCTGGGTATGCCAATTATTATTGTTCATGGGATGCATCGGATGAGAGGCCTGATTAGCCGGCTGGGGAGCGTTAAACGGCATGGCATTTTGATTCCAGAAAGCCTCTGGCTGCTGTTGCTGCTGCTGCTGGGCGGCATGCTGGGCAGGAAAGTGTTGCTGGTCGAGAGATTCGGAGTTATACAAGCGTGGCAGGTTCTGATTTTGCTGTGCCGCCAAAACGCTCCATGGCAGACCTGGGATGGGCACTTCTGAGAGCGAGGCGGGTTGTGCATTGAAATTCGACTGCAGGCCGGGAAAGGACGTGCCGTTGTTGAGAGGAAGATTCTGGTCAATGAGGGGGAGAGATTGATACCGCGCGTCTCGAAAGGCGGCCGGGCGATACGGGATATACCCACCGTCCGGCCAGTAGGGCCCGTACTGTCCTACGCCGGTTTGGCCAGCGGATCCGCGGCCAATGGGCTGAAACGACGAGGCCAAGACGGTCGGGTTGGCGGGAATGTTCTGCCAGTAGACGCGCGGCGGCTGAGCCAGGGTCGAGTTGTGCTGGAGGATCGAATCGATACCTTGGGGATAGTTCAGCGAACGAATCCAGTTGGTCTGGTGGGGGGCGCCCGGGAGGACGGGGTTTGGCAGGGGGTTGAGGCGGGAGTCGGGCTTGAAGGCATGGGCGAAGGTCGGGCGCGGCTGGAGCAGCGAGGGGGGCTCGAGGGCCTTATACTGGCGGGTATCGGTGGCCAGAGCGGCGCGGGACATGATCATCTGGTCGGTTTCGCGGGCGGAGACTAGGATGTGCTTGGAGGCCGGGGGCTGGACGGCGCAGTCGGTGGCATCGTAGCCGTTGGGTAGGGTGCCGTTGGGGGTCTTGCGGCGGAGAGTGGTTTCGCTGGCGGACGGGACGGGGCTGGGGCGCGGGGCGGCACGCAGGTATTGGTTTCGGAGCGAGAGGACGGGCTGGAGCGACGTGGGCGGCGGCGGCGGAGGCAGGGCGGCGGGGCGCTGGTTTTCCACGTAGAAGGGGTTGGCAGGCTCGTCGTAGCGGGAGGGCCGCGAGTCGAGGAGGAGGTGGTGGTGATGGTGGTGGTGGAGGTGCGAGAGAAAGTGGTGCGGCGGCTGCGGCTGAGCGACGGACGGCAGCATCGTGGCGGGCGGGCAGACGGGGGAGAGAGGAAGTTGAGGGAAGAGAGAGAGCGAGAGAGCGAAAAAAAAGAAGCGAAAAAAAAAGGGCGTCAAAACAACAAGACGACACCGGTGAGAAGAGCGGCGGCGGCGGCGGCGTCGTCTTTCAGCGGGCAAACAATCTCTTTGTGCGTTTCCGCCACGGCATCATGGCACGCTCCCTACAGGCCAGCGTGGTTGCAGCGGGCCATGCACGTCCAGCGGGCTCGACGGGGGGAGGGAAGGGCAGGCGTTGAGGGCGACGGGGTGGGCTGGGATTGGGTTGGTGGTTGGCACGGGCGGTTAGGATAGTTGGTTAGTGAGCTGGACGTCAAGGCAGGCTGCGAGCGACGGGCGATGACGGACAGCAGCGACGACGAGAAGCGAGCAGCAGACGCCAGGAGAGAAAGAGAGAAAAAAGACAAGACACGAAGACACGGAAAAACAAAAGGGAAAAAAAGGCAAAAAGCAACGACGGGCAACGGCTGGGGTGTGACGGGACGGGGGGGGTCGCGAGGATGGCGATCGGCGGGCAGAGGGCGGCGGAGGATGGTGGGTAGTAGGCAGGCAGGCAGGCAGACGTAGAGAGAGAGAGAGAGAGAGAGAGAGAGAGGGAGGGAGGGAGAGAGATGGGATGGTGATGGCGATGGCGAGGGAGAGAGAGCGAGAGAGAGACCAGACGACGCCCCGAAGCCAGCAAAGCCAGCCAGCGCGCGGGCCTGCAGGATGCGATGCGGTGGTGGTCTGGACGGGCCGCCGTTGGCCGGCGAGGGCGGGCGTGGGCGGCCAAGCGGGCGATCCGCGTTAGTCAACTCGGCATGGGCAAGCCCGCAGCGCCGTGTTTCAGCGCCTAGAGCATAACTATCCAGAGTACACGCAGTCCGGAGTACAGAGTTCACTAGACGTAGTGACTATTATTCACTTCGCTGCCTAGCTGCCGAGCTACCTGGCTGCCGTCAACGGCTGGCTGCTAACTACCTCCCTTGGGCGCCGCCCATAACTAACTGCCTCCTCCCCTCTCCATCGCCCTCGCCCTCGCCTCTCCTTCTCGCTCGCCCTCGTCCTCGCTCTACGCGTCGGGCTTCTGCCCGATCCCCGGCTTCTCCTGCCGCCAGTCCTCCGGCCCAAACCACCCGTTCCACACGATCGACTCGCGCGCCGCGCCCTGGTGCCCAACCCACTTGTTGATGCCTATGAATTTGTCCATGTGGATGCGGTCCCGCGATCCCTCGCACTGGGCCACCAACTTCACGTCTGCAAGCCTGTGTTAGCCCGTGAAAAAGACACGCCCGCAAGAGAGGTGCTCACCCTGCAGGTACCACTGGTCGCCCGCGCCCACCGCGTCCACCAGGTGGTCCATCAGCACGATCCCGTGCATGTCGCGGATCCGCACCGTCTTCGTCCCATACGACTTCTCCAGGTCAATTATCTTCTGCGCGTGGTCCCCGTAACCCGGAGCCTCTGCCATCATGTACCAGTGATGCCCCATCATCGCCAGGATGTTGTCGTACGTGCCCCCCCAGTTGTAGTCGCCCAGCGCAATGTCCAGCACCAGGTAATTGATCGTCGAGCACCGCGCCCGCGCATCCTCGCACACCCCCTTGTCCGTTTTCTTGCATGTCAGCGGCCGGTGGTAGTTCTTCTTCAGCCGCTGGCAGAACTTGTTCAGGTTCGCCTTGGGCGCCTTCAGCTTGTCTGCTCCCCGCCGTCAGCCAATCATACAGAACGTCCACACATCGCGCCAAAAAAAAAAAAAAAAAAAACTTACCCTTGTCTGACCGTCGGTTAGGGCTCCCCATGAACCCGCACGCGCCGCTGAGTAGCGTGCACATTGCATCGTGTTGCTGGTCAAACCATTGCATCGCCTCCGCCACCGCCCGATCCAGACCTTCGTCGTTGTTCGGCCACGCGGGGCTGTGCGCCGGCGGGTGAGCGTTAGGCGGGTTGAGCTGATCCCCATTAGACGGGCCGGGCTGGTTGCCGTGTGACGGGCCGGCGGCGTGATGACCCAGGGTCTCGTTCACATACGCGAACGCCAGTGCCAAATCGTGGTCCGCCTCGTCCACCAGATATTCGTTCCACATTTCCATCGGGATTTCGCATCGATGACCCTCGTCCAGGCCCGCGAGGTACTCCGCCGCCGCGAGGAGCTCATCGCCCGACAGCCGCCGTTGTACAGGCGGTGCGGGAATCGGCGCGGCCTCGGGGAGCCCTTCCAGCGGCCCAGGGACATCTTCGTCGAACTCGTAATGTCTCCATTGGAACGGAAACAAGCCCACTAGGGAAATCACCGTCCAGTCTTCCATCAGCTCTACCGCTTCATCGTCCTCGTTGTGTTGACCATAAGTCTGGCGATCCGGATTCCGCATGTTCGGTGGTATGCTGCTGCTCGCTTGGCAGGCTGGGTTGCCATCATATACCCGATGTTCATACTCGCGGTTGAGCGTCATAGGGTATTCAACAGAGACTTCGCCGTTGGGTCCCCGTTGGACTCGATGCCAGCCTATCACCTGCTGCCAGAGAACTCCTCCCAGAGCATAGGCGTAGCTTTCGGGATACCCGTTCCCGTAGAGCATGTTCGGTGTCGCCCTGATCACGTACAACCAGCCACCCGGCTGCTGCTGTGCAGCTTCTATCGTCTGGCCGACAGTAACATACGCCGATCTCCACAGCTCCGGGTCCTGAACTCCTACCCCAACACCATTCTCACCGCCGTTGACGTGTCGATCGAGGTTGAATGCTTCCGGGCGTGCCTCCCAATCAGCGCCTGAGGGCCAGAAGCCACCCATGCTCCGAACCTCGAGAGGACTTAGGTAGGATCCGCGATAGGCGAACCCGCCAGGGGTAAACGGGGGCTGGGCGGGAGGCTGTCGACGAGCGAGCGATGCCTCAGTCGAGGGTTCCGGCGAGGGCCTGGCATGGCCGAGGCCTGGCAGGAGCATGAGGCTCCCAACCGAAAGAGCGAGCTGAAACCACTGCATCTTCAACTGCGTATAGCTGAGCTGTCCGATAGGAACAAGTATGATGCTTGATTCTGCAGCTCAATCGACGGCCGGATGTCCACCCTTATATAGCTTTGGCGTCGCGCTGCATTGTCGCAAGGCCGATATGATCGCGACCTTCATCGCCGCGAACATCGGACTGCCATCCCACAGGATCTCCCAGCTGGCTCACCATACCTGTGAGTAGAACAGGCCCATGACATCAACACCTGATTTCCAAATTAGGGCATATCCGGTTAGCTGGCCCGATGCCAATGACGTTGTATCCTGAGGGATTGAGAAATCACCAGCCTAAAGCTCAAAATTTCTCTACCCTCCTAGACGTGCCCGTAGGATGTTGTTCTCCATCCCACGCCAGCACGACCAGGGCAACTGGGTCCAGAAGGCATGTCTTTCCGGTCGCCATCAGAACTATGGAACGATGCGAAGGAGCACTGTGGAGGAAGAGAGAGAGAAGAGGAGAGGAGAGGAGAGGAAAGAACAGATTCAAAAATTGCAGAACACCTCACATTCACCGGGCGTCAGTCAGCAAGGTAGTTGACGATACCACCTGAATTTTGACTTCGCATGTACGCGCCTGTAGGATGATGGACCCAAATAACCGCAACCCATGCAGCTGGGTGCAGAAGACATGGCTATTCAGCACCACCAACCATCGGAACTACGGAGCAATTTGCAGAAGCATTGAGCTGGCGAAGAGAGAGAGAGAGAGAGAGAGAGAGAAAGAAGAGAGAAGTGGAAAGGGCAACCGCAAATACAGGCTGCATGCCAGTGGAAGAATAGTTATTCCGCCCCAACCAAAATTTTGACTACCCGCACGAATCGGGCTAAATGCCTGAAATAGGCTAGTGCCATTCCGACGACATGGGCTATCGGAGTCTCGCCGGCACTACGGAGTACGGAGTAGCAATCGCGACTCAGCCTATTCTGCTCTGTTGAGTCTCCAAGCCGGGATACACCGATGGGATTGTGGCTGCAGCTTGGGAGTCGCTGCCGTGCACGGAGTAGAATCCATCCAGCGGTGCACGTATTCCTTTTTTTTTTTCCTGCCTTCTAGAAGCGTGTTCGTCGGATGCTGCGGATCTCGTCGGCGCCGCATTGCCGCCGTCGCGGCTATCATAATAAAATTGCGAAACTCAGCGTTCAAGACTCCCAGCCTAGGCCGAACATGGTCACAACAACCACACCGTCGGGAAGTATCTCTCAGACAGTCTTGCAGCTACATACATACCACGCCGCACTAGGTAGGATTTCTCAGACGAACAGCTGGCACGGAGCTACGCCCGTCCTTCGCTCAAAAGTACGTCCAAAGGCTCTCGCCTGCCGAGAGAAATGGAGTTGGTTTCCGAGCCAGAAACACATGCTTCCTGCTTGCCATGCGCGCGGGGAGCGCTATGGAAAAGCCCGGCGGGGACTGGATGCTCCCTCGCAGTCGAGACTGACAGCGCTCCATGGACTACGGCCCTTTTGCAGCTCTGTAGACAAGTAATCCGTGTGAGGGATCTTTGGGGATTTTGACGAAAGAGGACGAGCAACCAAGAAAGCCAAGACATAGTAGGCCAAGGTGGTAGGCTGAAGAAAACGACCATACTTGCTCCACATTATGGAGTTCGATGACCATCATGGATCTCCCCTCCCGCCGCCCCGTGGCTGGGTGGAGCGAAGTATCTAGGAGACTCGCCACCCTAGTCTGAAGGACGGACAGTGGAAGAGGTGGCTGCCAGCGAGATTACTGAAAGACATTGGTCTCGATTCCGTGGGCGTAAGAGAGAGCCTGCCATTTTTTAATGCAAAACTAGCTCCTTGTTGCCAAGTGTCATATATGGGATGGAATCTGATTGGCTCGGTAGGAATGATTCTCATACTTTACTCTTTCTACGGAGGTGTGTGTGTGTGTATTAGAGCACGGAGTATATTGAACTTGTGGCATTTATGTACTATTCAACGTACAGTGAGAGTCTCAGAAATTCCATATACATTGCATGTTGACCGTAAAAGATGGACCACTGTATCCACGTCAAGGCCGCCCATTTCCCCGGAGGGAAACAGGCGAAATCCCCAAAGAATACCGCGGTGAGTAGTTGGTCAGAGGCGCCATGAAGGTGCCCCTTGCTCTCCTTTGCGTCAAAATAAGCCCATACCGTGAGGCAATTTTGTCTAACATCGAAGCTAGACTGGTGTAGGCCAGAGTGTGGCAAAGGAAGGAAGTGATGTTCAGAAAAAAAGAACCCCAAGATTCGTTGGAACAAAAGTCTGAAAAGGAAAAGCTAGCCTAACGGATCTGGCCCGGTGAAGCATTGTTGGTAGCAATTCATTTCTCATAAATGGCACTAAAAAAAAAAGTGGGCCAATTGATATCTCCATTGAGCGCCGTACCTGCCCTAGTCACAATAAATGCGCCCATAGTTTGATCATACAGTGAGCAGACGAGCACAGAGAAAAAAGAGTTTTTAATTATAGTTTTATAAATTTCACTTTTTACTCGGATGGAACTAGATGAGGGTTAGTGTCAACAAGTCAAACGGAATGAAGGAACACTTCGCATACTATCAATTTCACCAGCCTTGATCTCATCGCTGATCTCCTTGGGAGACCGTCCGTCAACTTGGCAGCCGACGGAGAAAGCAGTGCCCAGAATTTCAAGTACGGTGCCCTTGAGTTCCTTGGCGAAGCTGCGCTCCTTCATGATGCGAGCAATATCAATGATCTCATCAAGAGGAATGGACTTGGAGTGCTTGATGTTCTTCTCCTTCTTACGGTCCCGAGGAGGTTCCTTGAGAGCCTTGATGACAAGAGAGGAGGCGGAGGGCACGACCGAGATGGCAGCTTGACGGTTCTGGATGGTAAGCTTCACGGTGACGCGAAGACCTTTCTAAAAGTCAAGAGTTAGCAAGTCCGCTGGACAAACTCGCATACCCGATATATTGACTGTCCAATGTGGGCTATTGTTTGGCATTCTGTCTGTTGTTCAAAACGTACCCAGTCACCAGTAGCCTTGGCGATATCTTCACCGATCTTCTTTGGCGAGAGACCGAGAGGACCAATTTTGGGAGCAAGAGCAGACTGTGCTCCGACCTCACCACCTGTGGTTCGCAGGTGGCTATATTCTTAGTTAGGATAAATGCGCCTCCCATCGGTGTTTAGCTAGCGAGACTTACATGACTTTCACCTCAGAGGGATCGAGCTTTGGAGCTGTTCAGGAATACATTAGCCGCCATTTTGAAAGCACACAAGAAGACGATACTTACGCATGGCGAGTGCGAAAGGTAGTCAATCTTCCTTTGTGATGTCTGGTTGTTGAGGTTGGGTGAGGCAGAGAAAGAGAAAAGCTTCGATAGTTTTGCCGGTTCTTTTGCTGGGCTAAGCGAACTCGGCCAAACTTAGGGCATGATGCACCACGTGACAAATATTATGCGGTGGTGGCAAATATAGTTCGCCCTACGTTATTCACAATGGTTGGTTGGTTTCATCAAGACCCCCTGAGACGAAAAGTAGAATTCATTACAGTGAGAATTAAATACATATACCCTCCAGCTGGACAAACTCCTAGACAAGCAAGTCCCTTTATCTTAGTTGGTACCTGATACCGCCAGCCTAGCAGAAAATGTTAGAAGAATTCTTGCATAAGCCACTTGATTTTGGGAAACTTACTTCATCAAATGCTCCATGAAGGTGTGAAGGGAAACATCATCGGTAAAGATAGTTTGAGCAGATTGACCGCCGCCATAGCCGCCGCTAGAATGAGTAGTAGATGGGTTGAGTTTGGAAAGAAGGAAACGAGCTTGAGAGCCTCCTGCATCGCAGATGATAAAGCGTGGCAAAGGGAATCGATCCTGAAGAAGATCCTAGAATAGTGTCAATAGGAGTCATTTTGGTCTAGAGCATAGAATGGCAAGGTACCCTGGCATCCTCCTTCGGCTGTTCTAGAATGGCCTTAAAGTTCTCATATCCTTCCTGATTTTGATAGTCGGCCTTTCTCCACGCAGCCATTGTCTCTCCGTTGAAAATTAAAATATGGAAAAACGTGTCAAGAAGGAGAATATGAGTTGGTTGTATAGAACTTGAGTCGAGAAGTACTGGTTGAGCGCCTTCATGGTCGAGAGAATATGAGTCTAGGGTAGGTTGAATCATAATAAGGGAATTTCCAACGTATTCGTGATTGAGAACATGTCGGTAGAATGTAGTCTCGTCTGGGGAGTTATTGAAAACTTGCAAGAACTGACTCCGTCGAAGATGGAACATGAACTGAGGGTAAAGTGTAAAGTTCTTCTCCAGTCGGAAAGACGAAGGATCATCCTTCCGATAATCTGCGAAGCGTGAGCAAAGTCTGATCAGCATGCGGTCGACCCATCTCAAGACGTCCGGTCCATCATCGACATCTGCTTTGAATACAGCGATACGGGCCATCAAAACGGCAGCGGCTTCCTGATCAAAGGATTGAGCCAGGGATGAGTCGCCTGCTGGACCACTCAGGGGCCTGGCAACAGTTGTCACTCTGAGATGGAATTGCCCCGAAGAATGTTGATAGTATGTAAGGAATTGCATCAAAGCTTTGTGTCCTCCTTGCTGCATAGCCGCTGGGCCTCCTTGGTTTGCAATCTCGAAGTAGATCCCGTAAGAAGATGAGGGGTTGATGCCGCACATCTTCCAAGAGCATGTATTGCCAATTCCACATTCAGTTTCTCCAACAGAGCTTGATTTCTTGTTTAATGATACGGCGTGCCCGATGAGGCCTGTAACCTTGAGCTCCTTTGTGGTCAGTACCTCCAAAGCAGCATTGAAGCCCATTTGAAGGTTATCATTCGCGTCTTTCTCAAAAACTCTCACCAAAGACTGCTTGAACTGAGTAGATGTAAAGGCATCCGTTAAAACCATATGCCCACCTGTCGAGTTTACCAAGCTTTTCATTTCTAATAGTCCAACTTGGTCCAGAGATCCAATAAAGATATCCACGATGTGTCCATTGTGAGCTACACGTTTCGCTAAGCCATCATAGAACTGGATGCTGTTAGCGGCACCAATCATTACTAAGAAAAATATCAACATACCTTTACAGCCTTCTTGTAGTACTTGATATTGTCCCGGTCGATATCATGATGTGAGCGCATTGGTTCCCTTAGTTGCGGTCCAACTACTAGACCTGGCCCCTGTGTTGGCGGCCCACTAGTGAACAGCATGATACGGCCGCCAGCATTTTGGAACGAAGTTTCCATCAAGCCAATTGCTACGCTAAGGGCCACACCGGTACATCGCAACGGACGCCTGTCATTTGCAACAGGCCAAGGGTCCTGAGGAAGTTGTTCAAGAGCATTGGTGATTTGGAAATCCGCCTGCTGAACGGGGAGGAGGAACCGCGCGGCTGGAGAGACCGGAGGAGCAACTGGCCGGCCAGGTTGCTGCTGTGAAACAGGAGCTCTGAGGCCCGGGGCAAGAAGACCAAGCATCTCTTGAATTTGCTTAGCAGTATAGTCCTTACTACCTCTGAATACATACGACTTGGCGCACTCCGTATAGCCGAGTTCGTGCACTTGGGCCTATGGGGTATCAGTAGCTGTGAGATATAGCCCAGCACATGGGGTCCATACCATAGTACCAAATGTAATCAGACCCACAAGTGCGTTAGGCGGCAATAGAGACAGACTCATGATGAGGGAGTCCTTGACAGCCTTCAAGCTATCTTCCTCTTGGCATATGTCAACAACAAAGAGGAAAATGGGCGGGGCGGGCGCCGGGCGTGCAAGCCGGTATTCAATGGTTGTATTCATAGGATGTAGCTCTGGTGGAACAGCATTCTCCGCAATGTCTTTATAATGCGGGGGGAGGGGGTTGCGTTGGAGACAAAATGGGCATATCCAAATGCGTGCACGGATGTCGACATTACTATAGCCTATTAGTTGGTTGCCGGGACTCGACCTCGTTAAAAACAAACCACGTACGCGTAGGGGTTTAAGACTGCTCTGCAAGGCTGTTTGCAAGTCACTGGTTCATACTGCAACAACGGGGCCTCCGGTCTCTCTTTCAATGGCGTGTAGACGGCCCCGATCGGCACAACAAGCCGGGATGCTTCCTATACTCCTTGTCAGGCACTGAATTCCAGAAAGCGGGACGAAGCGCTGCCGAACCATCCGGGTACTTGGAAATGTGTTCCAGCTCAGACGAATACCATCGCGATCCTCGATATCGCTCCACTGGTCCTTCAGAGCGTCGAAATCCATTGTGGAATGTTGGGACCCAAGGTCAACTCCTCCGTCGGAGCTTGCGATTAGTTGGGCAGAAAATGGGGGCACTAAAACCAGGAATTAGTGTCAATGAAAGCTGAGCGCATGAGCGTTCTCACCAAAGTCAGAACCAGCAGAGGAGAGACGGGCCTTGGTCAATGGCCGTGGTGTGCGGGTGGGCTGGGGTGATTTCGTAGGTGCACTGCGTAGACGAGGGAATGAAGCCAGCTTGCAGGATGATTGGCGCTTGCGGTCCGCCGTAGAGCTAGCGCGCGCGCCTTAAAAACTTCGATCAACACTCCAACCTTCTCCCTTCTTTCTTTTCTTCATCTACATTTTACATCGCCGACTTTACACATTACTGATGTCAGCCTCTGTCTCTTTGCAATGGCGTTGCTGTTTTCGCGTCGAGCGTATAGAGAATTATTACCCATCGCTGGGCACCTGGTTTTGAAAGCTCATTCTGAAGCTTGACGATGAACCGGGAATCAGCCGCGGTAACATTCTTTCTATTTAGCCAAGTATCATTTGACAGTAAACGCCTTGTCGAATGTCATCGTTATACACGAACACTGAATCATAATATATGCACAAATGCCGAGAACGGTTATAAGCCTGCACGTACGATCGAATTCGATCTTCCTTATCCTCATAACCAACGCCTGCAATACTCCATACATATTCCGTACAATATCAAGAGCAGTCCTACTTTACCCAAGTATTGAATCTTTCGGAGTGCGCCCATAAGCACCAACTCAAATCAAATCATAAATTGTATCGTTATGCTGTCATTTCAACATCTGCCTTTGATAGCTTGCCCAGGTTTTTCAACTGGTAGCTACGTTTGAAATACGTGTTTGGATGGACAATTGTGTCCAGCTCAGCCGGACTCATTATCCCCTCATCCTTTGCCTTCTTCAGTTCATCTTTATGGACATGTTCGAAAACGCGGTTGCAAGCGATGTGGTATCTCATTCTCCCAACATCCTCTCGTACACCTTGCAAGACGTCTCTGTCATTTACACCAGTAACTTGAAGTAAAGCAATAAGGTTGTCCACAGAAAAGTGGCGATAGGGACACCCGTGTGTTTGTCCGGCGCCAGGGGCATTGTCGGTCAAGATCTTTTGACACGAATACGGGGGATACCCTCTGCCTCGCCGATTCGAATCGCCTCCGACATCACCATAAGCATGGCGAATATTATATTTATACTTGGAGTTGAATTCATCATCACTGAAGTTTCTGAAAGATTGTCGCCAAAACATGATACAGTCCTCGAGCGACAGTCCAATACCCTTGAGAAATAACGTATATTGAAGCCGGCCGAAATGTTTCAAATGGGCGTTTTTTCGTAGTTGCATGTGCAGATTTCGCATACATAGAGGGAAGCTGGAAGATAAGGCATCAATTGATGCGGCCGTAATCGGCGCCCCAGGCACGGCGCCCTCGCCATCAATATATGAAGTATCCGAAGTTCCAAAGTTCTTCGAAAGGTGATCGAGAATCGGGACAAGGCGATCGTCTTCGTCTAACCGAGGAAGTGCCTTGCTTGTAAACTGAGGAAAATTTAGTAGGAGCACCATCAGGTAAAGAGGAACAATTTAGAACTTGCCTCAAGGGCTTTCTCCAAACGAATACTGAACTCAGCCATGATCATGCTAAGCTGCTCTCGCAAGGGAACATAGGCTTTGCCTTTCCTTAACAACACGCCCCTGCGCTCAACCAACTCTGGTACTCTTTCCCAATCTACCTTAAACCACCCCTCATTATCGAGTCTCTTGATTCCAGGCGTAGACGCAAGTAAGGCTTCTCCCAGGTTATGCTTCTCTTCGTCAGAGACAATGTCCCAGTCAAAATTCAAACTATCCACAAATGCACGTCGCTCCTTTGAATCATCTTCTTGAAACCGAAACTTGAACAGCATTGTCTCTAATCGAACGAATCTCCGTCTCAACTCGTCGGTCGACGAAAATGCGAGTCTGAGAATAAAGTGAGAATAATGGTCCTTTTGACGCTCGTCCCTTAGTCTTTGATCGACACCGGATCCCGAGGCGGTATTTGAATGAAGAGGAAGAAATTTCTGGAGGAGAGGCGCAATATGCGCCGCCGTCTCTGAGGGGGTTTTGTTTCGGTATGAGCATGCTTCAAATTCTGACAGGACTGCGAGCTGTGAGCTTAACTTCAGCATAACTGGTTTTCTATAAGTAACATACTCCTCAAGCGATCAATTGCCCATTGTTCGAATTGCTCGAGCGTGATTTCAGCGGTTGGTGGCACTTCATAGAAGTTTAAACGATGGGGATAATCTTGTTGTTTGTAGGTTGGAGTAGCAAATTGCCTTCGTTTAAAATCCAGGCCAGCACGGCGCTTTGGATCAATCCGTGTTTTGTCGTACTGAAGCATTTTGACGGATTTATTGTGTGTTGCTGAAGCTTCCCAACTTGTCTGACGATATTGAATTGGCAGAGAGACGCGTCTGGACGCGACTCACGCCAACCTTCACGTGTTCCATTTAACTCAAGCGCATACTCCGTACCTCTCAATCATCCAATACCCCATGAAACAAAATACAGTACTCAGTATTCTTCATTATCAGGGAGAATTTTATAGCTATTTCGATACTATTACCATATTCACCGCTGAAAATTCACATGAGGCCTTCTATAGTTATATACTCCGTACAACTTCCACCCTATCACTACACAGGAAATTTCTTGGTGGCGCTAATCTGTGCTTCCTTTGGCTGAATGGCGAAAGGTTCCGTGCGCCTTAATGCATAGGTTATTGAAGCTGAGTGATGGGATGGACGGGGAGTGTAAACTTGTGTGTTGAAAGCTTATCATATCCTTCGATGAAGATTGAATAGCTTGCCAAGGAAGCGCAAGATCTGCAACCACCTGTCATCAATATTTGAAGGAAAGAAACGGAAGGAGTTGAGCTGCGCGACTTTTATCCCGTTTATGGGTTATTGCCGGCACATAATTATTACTTTAGCTGTATTGACTACGAACCTGTTGAAGCGCCTACGGGCTGGCTGGATAAACGAGAAACTTCCGGGTTGCTGAAATTGATGACATTGTTGTAAAGTGTAGCAGAATCTTTAGAAGACTTTGGTGGCGAAGCTTCAGTTAGTAATATCACACCGTAATTTTACGTGGTTGGATCTGATGTTAGACATTCTCATGGAGCGGTCCAGGGTCTGGACAACCCGGCAAAAAAAGGTATCTAATGCAGAATTCTTGTGCATCTATGGCCAACATCGTTCGGATCATACGGCAAGGTAATAGCGTACTCGTATAGTAATAAAAATTTCCGGGTCTCGGCTAAGCTATCTGAATGGACAGAGATATTGAGAATAATTAAAGAACCAATGCACCGTAGGAAGCAAGTTGACCGGCTGGATGTGGTCAACAGATATCACTTGCTAGTAAGCTGCCCAGCTTTCTCGTTAAATAGCAAGAGCTGGGCGATTGATCGATCGATTTCAAAATCAGAGTAGTCCATAGTCCTACTCCGTACTCCGTAGATATGTGGTTATCACGAAAGCGTGCTGTTTGTACAATATTGAATGCTAAGATGCCTGTCTCGGCGCTATTTAAGGTTCTCAAATTTACCTCTAGCGCGGTTTGAGCCGGCTGAACGGAGAGCGGCCGCCGGCCTCCGAGGCCGCCCGAGCTCTCCCGAGGTCGGAGCAACTCGGCAGCGCCAAGTGGAGACCCGAGCCCTGCGTTTCACGTGCCTGATGCACGGTTCACATGCTGACTCATCCGGGGAAACGCTCAGGGCAAGGGACCGGCGAACACCAAGCCGATTCCCCAACAGGAAATACTGCTTGGTGTCCACCCATCTGCGCTCATTGTTCCGCTGTCGCGCTATATACCCAGGCCTCGCTTCTTTCACGCCCCCGCGTTCGGCCGCTCACTAATATTTCGGCTTTATTACGAGGTTATTTTTGTTTTCGTCAAAATGATATAGCTAGCGTTCTCTGCCCGTTTCAACGCCATTTTGGCAGCTTTCCCCCCCCCCCCCCCCCATTGCGCCCCCGTGTTTACTCCTCGAGTCCAAAGCAGAACCACAGCCAACGGGCTTTATAATTTATATCGTCTGAATTTCCCCAAGTCATGAGCGTTTTGACCAAGAAATTACGAAACGCCGCTCGGATTATTCTTGTCGGCGCTCCTGGGGTGGGAAAAGGCACACAAACCGAGAGACTGATTAAGAGATACCCCCAACTCGCCTCAATAAGTTCTGGTGATTTACTACGAGATCATGTTCGCAACAGAACGCCCTTGGGTTCGCGCATAACCCCTTTTTGTGCCATCGGTAGCTAATGACAACTCGCAGGCATTCGCGCCGAGTCCGCAATTCAGGCCGGCAAACTTGTTCCAGATACCACTATGATAGAGTTGATATCCTCTGAGCTCATATCGAAGGGATGGCTATCACAATCGAACTCGGCTTCCTCCCCGAAGCTCGACTCTTCTGCCTCCTTCATTCTTGACGGTTTTCCGCGCACCGCTGCTCAGGCGTCTAGTCTAGAGCACCTCGTCCCTATCAACCTCGTTGTTCATCTCCTTACTCCTCCAGCCGTCATAATTAGCCGAATTTCATCTCGGTGGGTCCACCCCGCCTCGGGTCGAGTATATAATACTACTTTCAACGCCCCAAAGTTACCTGGAAAGGATGACATAACCGGCGAACCTCTGGTCCAAAGACAAGACGACTCAATCGATGTCTGGAAGCAGAGATTAAAGAAGTTTGAAGAGACCAGCCGTTCGCTACTGGATCACTACGATAAGAAGGGGTCTCTTTGGCGAGTCGAGGGAAATTCCAGCGACGAAATAAGTCCAAAACTTTTCGCTGAGATTGAAAGGAGGTTCGGCTAATGGTTGCATTCTGGGGATTGTATTTTTACTTTCTCGTTATGTGGACTGGGTTTACGGATGGGTCGCGTAGCCATGTTTTCCAGCACCCTATACGGTCCTCTCTTTCAAGTCACTGGGATCTTTGTTTTTATGTACAGTACGGAGTCTATACTATACAGCTACCATATCTTTTAAATCGTTTCCCTACCCGCGAACATGAGCACATCGACACCATGAATTGTCATTTCTTCGTAAGATTCATATCTAAGCATCTGTATGGAAAACAAACTCCCCCTACTCCATACCTTCCGGAATATGACATAAAATTTGACAGAATAATCCAAGAATCCTACTTCGTCGGCCTGGCATCCCTCTTCTGATCTTCTTCCGCCATCCTCGATTTGAATTCCCTCGGGCTCTCCCACGTCGCTTTTTTCTTTCCCTTCGCTCCCTGCCAGAGTCCCTTTCCCCGGCTTTTTGCCGAGACCTCTACATCTCTATACTTTTTCTCCAGTTCAGCACCTCCAAACTCCGCCCCAGTCTTTGCCTCATAAACCGTTGCCAACCCATGCTTCAGCATCTGAAGGCCGACATCTTCCTGGAAAATAAGCCAGCGGCGACGGTACACTGTAGCAACGACACGGCTGTATTGATCAGGACGATGAACATAGGCGCGCACATGTCGGCCAAGAAGATAATTCGTTAACCAAGTGTGTGCTTCTTCTGAGTACGGTTGGCCAGGGCGGCCGAAGTGAGGGAGCTCAGGGGCGTCGACACCGGCGAGTCGGACATGAATCTTGAGTAGATAAGTTAGCAACAGTAATCAATACAATTTATTTCAAAATGACGCCTCCTTCCATACAGTTTTATTCTTCAAGTCATTCTTCTGCGTGGGAACACTTCGCAACCATCCCCACCCGCCAAACCTGCCACCAGGTGTATGATACAGTCGAAAATTATCACCATCTCCCACGCTTGTTACTTTTCCAAATATACTCCGGCGTCTGAAGAAAGAGCGGGGAACATAACCCGCCTCAGGTATCCGTCGGAGATATTTGCGTTGAATGCGGATACATAGCAAGATGCCACTGGTTAGAAGGACGGTCGAAACGACAGTTTTCGCTTCGAAAAAACGTTTACTGCCTGTAGCATGATATGCTGAATTGCCATCGGTATCTCTCCCTGATTGGACTCGGGATATCAGGGAATCGGAAGAAGGCGGCGCTCGACCGCGGGCGGATGGGAGTAGAACATCGCTCGTATCGTCGTCATCATTTGGGCCATTCTCCGGCGGCGATGCCCAGAACAGCCATCTCATGACTGGCTTGATGTTCTGGGGGGAGAATGAAGTATTGTGTGCTTCATGTATGGAGGAGTTCGTCACCGGTGTCGTTGAAACTGACACCCATGGGTGGTGTTTATTTTGGCGCGAGCCCTGCCAGCCGGACAGGGGGGTTGCCGATCACCCCGACACCGCCGTTTTAGACCCGACAACCCTAATAGTTAAAGAGTGTATTGAATTTGACACTTTGCACACCTTTTTCGCCTTTATCGCAATAGCTACAAAGCGCGAGAATGCGCAGACATACAGACAAAAGATAGAGTGAGAAAATCTACATATAGTACTATACTTGAGTTACACCAAAAAAGAGAAAAAAATCATACATGTTCTTCCATAATCTATTTCGTCGTGAGAGGCAATGTGCTCTTTGCGCTGTCGGCAGCAGCATTTGCCAAATTTTTTAGTTTGTCCTTCTTTACCTTGCGGAGGTAGGCGAAAAACATAAGGAAAAGTATTTCAAGTCTGCCAATATATAGGTCAGTATGACACAACAATAGATAATAAAATATGACAATCATTACCTTTCTTTGGTCATCATTAAGAGACCTTGGACTAGGAGGCCCTTGAGGATCTGGGGCCCAATGCCCTTGAACAATGCGAAGGGGCCTTCATGCTCAACTATATATTTCATCACCTCAATAAAACTTTTGAAAGGTTTCCCCTCTCTTGATGGCGGTGGGCGGGACTGTAGGCCGACTTTTGCAACAATCAACGGCTGCGTAGCGAGCGTAGCAAGAGTTTTGGACATAGCACCCAACACTAGCAACAGGTCAGCTCCAACATCTCGACATACGACTGGCGTCCATACCAAAAGCTTCCCATGGTCTCAAGTTACTTTTCCCAGGAAATATAACATCTCGTAGCCTTTGATAAGCACCGTAGGTAATTGCCGGATTAACGACAAGAACTAGACTGGCCTTCAGTCCCCTCCATAACCCACTCCAACCATCCTCACTGTGCACCACTTCCTTGCCAGTTTCAAAGAACCCTTTTTTCTCTCCTTTCTTCTGTGTTTGTTGGCGAGTGGTGACTACAGACACTGGTATTGTGAAAACCTGTGCGATAGCACCGGCAATAGCGCCAAGTGAGAGCTCAATGGCAGTGTTTGGAGGATGAGGAAGATTTGATTTCATGTAAAGCGTTCGAACGATGGAGTACCAGTAGAAATAGGCAAAGTTCGTCGATGCCACTCCGACCAAGGAGCCATGAATTCCAGAATACAACCCTTCCACACCCTCGTGGGCGATGATTTTTTTGATCGCATCTACGGTAGAGTCATAGAAGTGATGGTGGTGGTGGTCGTCATGGGGAGGATTTCCGTTTGTTAGCTTTTGAGATTTTACTTGAACTTGAAGGCGAGTCTTGACACTATCGCCAGAGAAAGTCAGTCAATATTTCGTTGATGGTGGAGATGCCGGATGGTAGCTCACATGTCAAGAGGATATACCATCGCATTGGCTAAAACGGCTCCCGCAGCGCCGGCAATGGCACTCTCCCATGGCGCCAGCTGTGCTTTCGATTCCCCAGCCATCAAGCTCGGATTTTGCAGTCAGCTATTAATTCCTGGTATTCTAAACGACGAATGTTATGGTATGGGTGAATGCCGTCCCGAGGAACCGAAGCTCTGATGGTACTGCGCTAACTAACTAGTTACGCAACACGGTCAAGAGATTGGATGTGGTTCTGAAGAGTCACGGCTGGGGAGGTGCAGCAGCGTACAAAGAATCGCGGTTTCGCAGGCAAGGGAAGACTCCGCCAGCAAGTTTATCGAGCATGCCAGAGAATGTCCAGTAGCGTTGTAGTCAATAATTTAACTAAGCCATGATGAGGGATCAGCGGAAACCCAGAAATCGGCGTTACCAGTAAGTAGAGCCGAGGCATCGCCAACTTCTCCCGGCAGCCACAAGGTGACGCAGCGAAGAATTCCTTTCAACCGTGGACGTTAACGCGAACGCCAGAACTAGTTAGCCAGGCACGGTATTGTCAATTTACTCGAAGTTGCATCGCCCATTAGACGTGATCTACTTGCAAGATGCAAACCAGTATGGCGTTCTGAGAATCCCCGACCTCGGGTGTCGGGGTCGTTGGGCGGCAGCAAATCCAGGCTTGTGTTCACCTGAGCCTGATAGTTCTTGCCTGGGCGCCCGAGAGCTGCTCACTTACATTCACTACTGCTAAGAGGCGGCGTGAAGCAACTCGGACAGAGGCCTGGGAGCTCCAAGACCGTCAACCTGCCAATCCTTCCCCCACTAACTAACTCACTGCTAACAAGAAGGTTGAGAGAATCAACCTCATGCGTGAGGGCAAGTGTGGAGACCAACAAAGCATTGTACTTGATTTAGTGCAGCAATAATGTCCCAATTACGGAAGATCAAAAACCAAGCTCTGGTAACCATGCTCTCCTAGACAGACATGCTCCCTTTCATCGCCCTCACTGACCCCTCCATTCCCAGCAAGCTGAGAGAGATGTATCGACATCAACCACCCAGCCTGAGGCCCTTGAGGCTGCGATCAGAGCTGCTGAGACTTACATGAATGCTCTAAATCTTACCACTGACCCTAATGAAAGGAAATGCCTGGACGCCAAATGCAAAGAATACATTACACGTGCTGAGCAGATCAAACTCCTGAAGGGGTCAACTGGAGCATCGGCCAATACACAAAGGACCCGGAAAGAACCACAATCCACCCGCTCCCTTTCTTACCGAGAACAGATTATTTTACTTGAAGATTCAAAGCTGAATGGCTTTGTTTTTCCTCCTTGGTCAGGAGGACCTGGCCCAGAAGAGTTTGAGTTGGATGAAAATGGGGAGCCGTTCAGGTTTGCATATCACAGCACTAATATACCCAGGCAAGCCTGACTCTTTGATGATATAGTGATTGTTCTGAGCTCAAACTTTCAAAAGCACAGCAGAAAATATTCAATGGTTGGAAGAGACCAAGTGAAATATTTGCAGATGCCAAGAGCGACATCATCATGGTGAGCAATGAACCCATGGATTTAGCCCAAGATGTAACAACAGATTGCTCTGTTGTTGCCAGCTTATGTGCTGGCGTCTGCCAAAATAATGATGGACATTCCCAAGTAAGTATTGATTTTGTGTCTTACGAGCTGTAGCCACAACGAAAATCTGACAATAAATTATAGCTGGTGAAATCAGTAAAAATGTATCCATCTTGCCAATACACTTCTATTCCACAGATCTCATTGTCTGGGAAGTACATTTTCCGCATGCATTTTAATGGCTGTTATCGGAAAGTGGTTATTGATGACCGATTACCAACATCAAACTCCTCTAGCTCCCTTTATGTTGCTGACCGAAACTGTCCCACATCAATATGGCCAGCCCTTGTGGAGAAAGCATATTTAAAAGTACGGGGCGGTTATGATTTTCCTGGCAGTAATTCCGGAACCGATATGTGGATTTTGACTGGGTGGATTCCGGAGCAAATTTTTCTGCATCATGATGAGGTTGGCACAGACCAACTCTGGTCTCGCCTTTTCGGCTCCTTTCATTCTGGAAATGCTTTGCTCACTATAGGCACTGGGAAATTGACTATACGGGAGGAAAAAGAGCTTGGGCTAATCAGCTTGCACGACTATGCTATTCTTGATATGAAGAACACTAGTGGCAAACGCCAGTTTCTTGTTAAAAACCCTTGGGCTGGTGGTGCTGTGTGGAGAGGCTTAGGCGGATCTTCCGCAATTTCTACCCCCCCAGCAGCGGGGTCTGGTTCTCAGCTATCCGGGAGATCGTCATTATCTCCAGGGACATTCTGGATTGACTGTGATGAAATGCTCCAGAACTTCGAAAATCTATACGTTAATTGGGATCCCTGTCTTTTCAAATACCGCCAGGATATTCACTTTCGATGGGATTTGTCAAATATAACTCCTATTCCGGGCTCCTTTACAGACAGTCCGCAGTTTGCCGTGACCTCCAGGGCTGGTGGTAAGGTTTGGCTATTATTGAACAGGCATTTTAAGACCGAAGAAACACTAGAAATGGCTAGCCAGCTTCTAGAGTTTGAAGGGGATAGCGGCCCCGGCTTTATCAGTATATATGTATTCGATAAAAAAGGCCAGAGAGTATATTTAAGCGATGGTGCACTGCAGCGAAGTCCGTTTGTGGATTCGCCAAACACTCTTGTACGGCTTGACATGCCCGCAAACACAACATATACCGCTGTTATTGCGGAACAGTCACTTCACCGCTCAGTTCATGGTTTTTCGCTTTTCGGCTTTTCTACATCACCCTTGAACATTGCGCCAGCTGCTGAAAAGTACACTTATGTTAACAAGTGCCAGGCAGCGTGGACGGTTTCTACAGCAGGTGGAAATGCAGAATCAGAGAATTACCCTTCAAACCCACAGTTTAAGCTAATAATTGGCGAAACCTGCGATGTCGCCGTGCTTCTAGACACCGACAACCCCGAACTAGCAACTCATGTGAAGATCTTTTGGTCCAATGGGGCGAGAGTTTCTGAAGTCCGGTCTCGAGATATTATAACTGACAGCGGGGACTACCGCCGTGGCGTAGCCTTAGCAGAAGAGGATTCCATGGTAAAAGGAACATATACTATTGTATGCTCGACATTTGCACCAGGTCAGCTGGGAAAGTTTACCCTTCGAGTGTCATCGACTCGTCCCTGTGACGTGAAGTCATTACCGAAAGAAGGGGCCGGTCGCTTGAGCATTAACAGTGGCCTTGGCCTATTTACCCCTGGGACCGATCGACTGCTAGCACCCATCAATGTCTCTCGCCTCTCTCGGCTTAAACTAATTGCTCGACGGAAAGGGTCGTGGATTGGACTTCGTCCCGTCGCCCCATCCCCGATTCTTATGACCCTAGAGTTGGGGCAGGGCCCCTACAAGGAAATCCTCGCCGCCTCGGGAGATGGCGATTTCAGCGACTCAATTACTGGTGTTCGTATCGAAAACGCCGATCTACAGCCAAACATGGGCTTTGGGGGCGGGATTTGGCTTGTTGTCGAGCGCGTTGGAGGCCCAGGGGGCCAGGTTGAAGACCATGTTGAGGTGGAAATCCTTTCAGAGGAACGCGTTGAGATTGGTGCCTGGGGCGTGGGCGATGGTTAGTTAGCCATGTTCGCCGGGTTGAAATCAGCGCGGGATGAAATACTCCGGAGAAGCTGCAATGGTAATTTAAGACATCTAAAGTAAAATACATGCAATAGAATATCAGCTACTTTGCATTGCTACAAGCAGAATTACCCGACAGATCCCTTCACGATGAAGCGTAGATATAGATACAGACATACCCTCGAGCTGAGGTTGGACGGGATAGAATGCCAAGCCACCGGCAGCAGAATGACTAAGCAGCCCGCGCCTGCGGGGAGCTACATGATATCACCAGTCACTTTAGCTCCAGCGCTGCCCACACGACATCGCCGACACATCAATGCCTGAGAGACATTTTCCAAGTTCTATTTTGTGACTCGACTGTCATAATGCCCACTGAAATACCAGAGAAGCTGAAAGCAGCAGATATCACTCGCTTTGCCACTCGTGCTCAGCAAGTCGAGAAACTAAAGCCGGTGATATGGTACTGGTGTACGGCCTGATGGTGGCAAGCAGTGGAAAAGAGAAGTGAGGCTAACGAGCACCTGCAGGCAACTACTGGATTGTTAATCAGATCTTGTCGAAGAATCTCCATCATTCCGATGAAGAATGCATGAAATTTACCGTGGGCCTTATGGACAGACTGGAATCGGTTAGAGCTTACCCCAAAAATTGACTTTGCGACTGTTCAAATCAGGAAATTCATGTGGCTAATTTCGTCATTGCTTTTTGGGTTACTTTGCCTCTGGAGTAGTTCAAAGCTGAACATCCAAAAGATGATACGGTCACAGATGATATTGCTGGCCAAGCTTATGTGGAACAATTTGGGCTAGAGACATTTCAAAGAGCAGACAACGCTGTGAGGGCTAATAAGGCTTCTCTGTATGGTCATCAACTGTACCCTTGCGAGCACGCTGTATCCCCGGGTTAACAGGCTCGTTAGACAAACCGCAGATACCTTCCAAGCAGCTGCAACCTTTTTGGACCTCTGCCAGATATGGGGAGCTCCTGACCAGGAGACTGCTGCGAAGATCAAGTTTGCCAAATTTCATGCCCTGCGTATTGTCAAAGCTGTGAAGTCTGGAGAAGATCCGAACCTCTCGAACCCACCACAGGAGAATCCAGAGATTGAAATAGACTCTCCAATGGAGTCCAGTAATCAGGGGCCAGAGGGACAGCCAGAAGTACCAGCGGCGAGGAAACCTAGACAAGCTTCTGTGGAGGATGCTCCAGATGACTTCGACAGTGTGCAACGAAGACTAGCAGCACAATCTTCTGCAAACGAATCCATCCATCCATCTAGGTCTTCATCCCGGGTGCCTCCCCACACAGACCAGCTCCCCCAGGTACCAAGTGCTCTTCCAAGTGATGCACCAAGCCCTTCAGTACCAGGTATGATAAACCTTGATGGGGACCTACGTCAATGGCCCTCCCATCTCTCCCAAGCCACCATTCCCGACCTTCCCGCAGCGCCCTCCGACTTCCCACAGAGCTCACCTATCTCGGGCCTTGGAACCCCGGCACGTATGGGGTCTCCTCCCGACCCATTCCCACCTGTAAATAGCTTTCAGTCCTTCCCTCCTCCGGCCGTGGCCACCCAGGAACCTCCACCGTCCCCACGCGCCTCTTCGCCCAAGGAGTTCGAAAGGATTGCACATGCGAGAAAGCCATCGATAACGCCCTCTACTGTCCCTCCACCCCCGAAACCCGTCCAGCCAATGCCATCGTATGTGTCGAGCGTCGGTAATTCTGTTGTCGACGAAGATTCTATGGCGCAGGCCCAGAAACACGCTAGGTGGGCCGTGTCGGCGTTGAATTTTGATGACGTCAATACAGCGATTAAAGAGTTGAAAAATGCGTTGAAGCTATTGGGAGCCAAGTGATATGGGGGATTTCTGAGGGTTATTAATAATGGGGATAGTTTATAGTGCGAAAAGCGGGAATATAGGACCGAAAAACACCTCCTGGAATACGGAGTACTACTGTTGGTGGCCTTTTTTCTTTTTTATTTTCCCTTCCCCTATTTTGAAAGTTTGGCAATAACATAATTTGTCTTGCATGTCTACTCGGAAATTCAGAATTAGAACCGTGCATATTGGTTATCTCTTGATGTTTCAATGATAGTTTGGATTACAATTTCTCCAGCAGCGTTGCACCAAGACCGAATGCTGGCTGGATTTGCTCGGCTAGCTCGCCTTACTGAGGGCTGGGTCAGCATAATAGGCCATGGCCTAGGCCGACACTTGCCGCACTGACGCTTCACTAGCCGTGTCGTCTACAGTCAATTGTCAGAGCTCCAAGACGTAGTTATGAGTACGGAATGCATGCATCCTTGCCTAATTTTTTTGGGCCCCTGAACTCCTGCCAGCCGCGTTCACAGGTGCTTTTGCGCAAAGTTTGATCCTCCCATAACAGTTTAGATAGTGATCAAGGATTCCTTCAGAGCCTAGCCAGGCTGGCCAATGGGCTTGTGAGTGAGTCCTCATGCATATGATTGAAATGACCCAGATAAGTGGACGGATGATCTTCAGGGTGAACTATAATGGTTGATATATCTAGCCCTAGAGTCAGTCTGAATCCCCCAGCGCGTCCCATTGCGCGGCCCGATTTCGGTCATAAAGCCGTGCCGCTTGGGGCGTTTGTATGCATTTCCATATCAATAGCCGCATGAATGTGGAGAACAGAACACGCTACCTCCAGCTGTCCACAACGGTTTCCCCAAAACACGTTGGCTGGTCTACAAGTTCCACAAGAAGCCTCAGCAGCCATACGTTAACAGACTCCGTATTTTATTTTGAGTCTGCCGGCTCGTTTCACGCACAGCATAGAAGCGGCCATATTTAGAACTCTAGATAGCTGGCTTGCTGCACACGCGAGGAAAAGGCGCCTGGGATCCTGAAGACTTGGCGCGAGATCTGAGCCCTTTGCAGCCCGCGTGCTCGTTAAATAGGACCATTGACGGAGCCCGTGCCCGAAGAAGATGGTGAATTGGGCATGGCGTGATGCGATGCTAGACAGAGAGGGCTGCTCTGGTATGTATATCGGGGTCAGTTGGGCAGGCAGTCACGAACGGACATGACCTCCCCACGACGGCTGGTAGGCGGCACACCCGCCCGCAAAGGCTATTTATTGTTGTTGCTTGCTGCCAGAAAGCCACTCTCGGGAGCGTTCCATGGATTTCAAACGCCACACAGCGAGCGAGGGTGGTGGCGGTCCTGCATGTCGCACAGTACTTCCGTCCCGCCCCCAGTCTTTGTTCTGAGCGGCCGGCTAGGCCACAGAATCAATAATACTCCGTACGTCCCGCGCGCACACGCCGGGGATCGGTTGGCGTTTGCTGGCGAGCCCGCGAGGCGTCAGCAGGAGCTACTAGAAGTAGGGGGCGGGCCACATGCTCGCGCGCGCACGGAAGGTTTGCGGGAGGGAGGGGTTCGATCAGGATGGATCCTGGGCACAGCGGGCGCGTCGACGACGACGACGACGGAGGAGCAGACAGCAGCAGCCTGCGTAGTTAGTAGTAGTCAGTCACGCAGGAGTTGTTAGGGCCGGCGTGCCGGTGGCGAGGCCCCTGGCGCGAGAGTCGGTGTGAGGCCGTTTTGCCTGGCATCGCCATGACGGCAAACGTTTTGGCGGCGCGACGCGGCCAAGCGGGCGCGTGCAGGGAGCGGCGGGCTGGCAAGTTAGTTAGTTAACTAGTTAGTTGCATGCAAGTCATTAATCTTGCCGCCAGACAGCCCGGCTGCCAGGCACGACGTCGAGATGGGAGGCAATATACATAACTAACTAACCACCTAGTTAGCCCGCAGACTAGCCACCTCGGTACCTACCTAGACACCGCGCGAAGTGGGCGTCGCCTCGTCTTCCCGTCTCGTCGCTTGTCCGCTGCCTGCGCGATCGCCCACTAACTAGCGAACCAGCCGGCTCCCTACTTAAGCCGGTTTCATGTCTCGTTGTCGCCAGGCCTGACCCGTCCCTCGCTGCTCGCTCTGCCTTGTGACCCACGGCTGCAGTCCAGCTTCTTCCTCTTCCTCCATACTGTCGTTCCCGCCTGTCTTGACCTCTCGTGCAATGTCCGCGACCGAGAAGCCGTCCGTCGTGATCATCGGCGGCCTAGGTATGTCTCTGCGCCCCCGTCCTGCCTTGCTGGTGAGGGACCACTGCTGATGGCTGGATGTTGTTGCTGCTGCTGTCAAGGCTTCATCGGCCGTCACCTGGCGCTCTACATCCACCAGCATAACCTCGCCTCCGAAGTGCGATTAGTCGACAAGCTGCTCCCCCAGCTGGCCTGGTTGGCCCCCGAGTTCACCGAGGCATGCTCGCAAGACAAGTTTGTGCAGGCTGATGCTAGCCGTGAACGTATGTTGCCTGGAGTGTTCTGGCACGCGTGTGCATGCAGTCTCTGACTGAAAGCTCGAACCATGCAGAATCGTTTCCACGGATCTTCGATAGGGCCAATGGCGCTCAATTCGACTACGTAATTGACTGTGGAGGTGAAACCCGCTTTTCTGAATCCGACGATGTCTATCGGCTACGGACCCATGCCCCCTCTCTCGCGATCGGACACGAATGCGCCCGGCGCGGCATACGCACTCTCGTCCAGTGTTCTACGGCCACTGTGTATAAGCCAGAGGCGAAGCTGCACAAGGAAAGCGACAAGACGAAACCCTCGTTGAAATTTTCAAAATGGAAACTTGCTCTAGAGGATGACTTGAAAAAGATACCGGGCTTGAACCTTTGCATTTTGAGGTTTCCTCGTGTGTATGGCGAATATGATACTGGGTTTTTGACACCAGCTATTTGCCTTGGAAGGGTATACAAAGAACTAGAGAAACCGATGACCTTCCTCTACTCCAAAGATCAGGTCATGCATACTGTTTACGTTAAAGATGCCGCCCGTGCTCTCTGGACGGCGGCGGAATGGCGCGCGAGCAAAGGTTCCATTACGAACAACCAAAACCCTCCGTTCCCTATCACATTTAATATTGTCGACCACAACAACACGACGAAGGGTCATTTGACTGACGCTTTAAGCCGGGTCTTTGGCATTGAGTGCGAATTTTTAGGAACATTAATGACCCAATTTGCCAAGCTAAACCAAGATGAGATTGTCGATGAAATGAACGAGGAGAGCCTCGAAACCTGGGCCGAGTTGCTACAAAAGAATGGAGTTACGCGGCCCGGCCCAATCAGCCCGTTTGTCGACAAGGACCTGCTCCGTGATGTCGACGTTTGCGCCGACGGGTCTTTATTTGAGCAGACCACTGGTTTCACATATGAGACTCCCGCTCTCTCTCCCGACTGGCTGGAAAATATTATTACCAGCTACAAACGAATGAATTGGTGGCCCTAGCTTGGCGTTCAGTTAGACGTTTTCAAAATTTTAACATGAGTCACGGACTGTTTTGCATACGGATACATTCGTACAATGATTTATTGGCATTGCATTTTCAATCCGCTCTTCGACCTCTCTTCTTCCTTGACGCGGTTCCCTTCTTTTCAATACCCTTGTACCTATAGACTTTGCATCTTATTTTTTCTTTCTTTCTTTTCTTTTGACTCATATCTATCAATTATTTTGTTCCAAGTGGAAACAATTTACTAGGTAGTCGGTCTAGACTTGAACTCGCGGCACTGAAGCCTTGTCTTTTTTTGTTCCAGGGAGATTTATGCGCTAAACAGCATATACACACACAGCTACACAAATACCCGGCACCTACCGAAGCTTGGAAGATTTCCGAGATACCAAAAATGTGGCTTTTGTGTCAGCTTCTACAGCAGCGCCCTCTTCGGGCTCTTCCCTTAAAGATCATCCCTCTCCACCAGCCAACACCCACACACACGCACACACACACACACACACACACACACACACACACACACACACACACACACATCAGGCGTGGGTTCGCTAGTTATCGAAACCAGCCCGATGCGCCAGCCACCAGTTCGGTGAGATATGTTCTCATCTTTTGAAAATCTTCCCCAAAATTTGGATCTGCAACCTGTGTTGCCACCCCCTTACTACATTTTTGAAGGTGGCAAAAATCATCATCACCAGGTTTTCTTCTGTCCGCTTTTTTTTTCCGCCTATGAAAAAGGAATATAAATTATGTTACACAATGTAGGTTGGGCGCATGCACCATAGCTACTCCATAATGCATCTGCGGCATGGCTTACTGTAGCTCCACTCCGGATTCCAGGTACACAGTATTTCCATCCAGGCTACGGAGTACGGGGTACAGAGTACAGAGTACAAACTGAAATTCGGATATTTGCACAGCGAGTAAGGGCTGATACTTTAAAATGTACAGACTCCCATCGACTTTTCCCCTAGTGATCTAAAAGCTGAAAAGCTGTTTGTACGGAGTCATGAAATACACCAAAGGACGGGAAAGCTAGTAGCTTGAAAATTTTTGTCCACAAATACTTTCTAGCCAAAAGAAAAAAAAAAAGCAAGAAAACCAAAAGCACTCATCCCTACCAATACCGTCCTCTCCAAGTTAAGGCAATAATAATGTAGCATAGTAAACCAAGCTCAGATCTCCACCCCCTTTTCGGAACGCCCCAAGGCCAGGCCGTTACACCCCAAGACTGGGATATAAATACTGCAAAGGAAAAGTAAAAATAGTGAAACAGCTTTAGAATTCCCAGTGTTCATCAACGGACTTGATGGCCCAATCGAATTTCTCTCGCAAAGTCTTCGAAAAGAATTTCTCGATAGGAACATTAAATTTTTTCGTAAATACCACCGTAAGTCGAGGATCAATATAATTCTATTATAAATTAGCATTTTCCATTTGTTTTTGACGTAACAAGCATCGACTTACAATCTTGGACGTCCCGAGAGCAACTTCTTTGTTTTCCTCTTTGTCCTGAGCCTGTAGCGACATTGTCTCGATGCGCTGGTCAAGTTTGACGAGGTTGCTTTCGAGCCTATCGATGGTAATCCCCTTACCTTCGGCCTCCACCTTCTTCGACTTGTTTTCCTTTTTAAATTTTGCTTCAAGTTCCTTCGCGGCTTGCAGGCGCTCTTCAAGCTCTTTGGCCTTCATCTCCTTTTCACCCTCGGCCCGCAGCTTTTCATTTTCTTTATCGAATTTCTTCTGGATCTTCTGACGTTGCTCTTCGACAAGGAAAGCTTGATGTTGTTTAAGCCATTCTTCATCAAGATCCTCATCTAATTCAAAAAAGGCTGCTCCTTTCTCATTTTTAATGTTTGAGTCAAGGTCAATCATCATTTGCTTGATTCGCCATTTTTGATAGCGAAGACCTTTGATCTAGAATGACTTAGTAAGATGTCCAGAGAAATATGGAACTTAAATCATACCCGGTCACCCATTTTCTCCATCTGATTAGCGTGGCTGGCAGTCACCGTGCGTTTATGGTTGCAAAGAATAGCAACTCTACGGTTTGCGTCGTTGTACTGCTTAACCTTTTCATGAACAGTACCTGTGGCTTCCATCTGCTTCAATAGCGTGGACATAGTATAAGACGCATTGTATGTACGGAAGACTTTTGCTGTAAGACCAGCCATGTAGCTCGAAAGGTGTTTATTTAAAGCGGTCGTCTTTTAGGGGTTAGTAAGTGTGGGTTTCGTATGCTGTTGTTGAAAGACTTACTGTAAGTCGATCGAAAATCTCGTCACCTTCCTTTTTGGGTTCTTTTTTAAATATCTTAAGATTCTTGAAAACTTGGGGATCGACTTCCACCTCATCGTAAAATCGAATGCTGTCTTTACCCAAGAAGTCAAATATAACTTTGTTGGGTGGTTTCAATGTGACGTGTTCGTATTTTAGCGAGCAGCAACCTACTGTGTCGGCTTCATCTTCACCCTTCTCGTTACCAGCTCTAAGAGCAAACTGGTCAATGAGGTACACAGCCGTAGCTCGCTGACGGTTTGCCATGAGTTCATCTTTAAGACCTGTCCGGTAATCTTTGCGGATGCGATCGATATGTTTCTACGACACTGTCAATAACACACAAGAGATCATCTACGAGCAACAACGTACCTTTAGCTCACGCGCCTTCTCAAATTTTTTGTAGTCACTTTGGCCCTTAATATCCGAATTCGCAGCAAGCATGATGTATTTATAGTTTCCGTTGACATTTTCTTGCCACATCGCTAGCCATGTTCCTTCTTGGTCATGCTTTACATCTTTCCACTTATGACCAGGAGGAGGCGGCGGTACTCGAGCTTCTTTTCCAATGTTAATGGTGATCTGCTCCGGCAGAACTCGCGTTTTAACACGACCTGTTTTAGGGTGTTCCCCACGGCCACGGAAGAGTGCAGGAGGTTCAACCCGGAAATTTCCAACTTTTTGTTTTCGGCCATCCCACGTACAATACATATAAGGAGCTTCAGCTGCGTCTTTTTCTGCTTTCAAAACTTTCTTTTCCGCGGCGGGAAGAGCTTTCTTTTCGATACGCTTCATGTCATAATAATCGAAGATCGGCTTAAAATCACATTTTTTGAAGTCTTTGACAGATACCGATTTACCCTTAGAATCTTTGGCGCCTCCAGTTTTCTTGATAATGGCTGTAAAGTCTTCGAAGAAGTTCTTCTGAAAAGTAGGGTTTTCAACGTTATGTGTAGAGTTCAGCATACTGCCGAAGAATCCGGCGACTTCTTCTGCATCTGGTGCTAGGGTGATAGGGACACCATCATATTTCATTTTAATGTTTTGGGGGAGTGGTTCATAGGGGGGTGGGAATACAACGCCATTATGTTCCAGAGTGGTCCACTTGATCGTGCCGTCCCCCTTTGTGGGGTCTTCCCACCAGCGATACTCCTCTTCATCTTCATCTTCAGCTTCTACCTCTTCGGTTGCTTCTTTCTTCACTTTACCCCTCCCTTTACCCTTTGGTGTCTCTGATTTAGCGGCTTTGGTCGCTTTTTTCGCAGGGGCCTTTCGACGTAAGGGAATGTCTTCATCGCTAGATTCAGCCTTTTTCACGCCATTCACTTTTTTACCATTCATAGTCGACTTCGCTTTTGCGCCCAGAGACTTCTTCTTGACGGCATCGTCGCGCTCATGTTTTCTGATGGCCTTTGCTTCCTCTTCTGCAAGATGTTCTATCTCCTCTTTCTTAGTGACAAAGCCTTTTTCTTCAGCTTCAGTCAGTGCAGGAAGCTTTTTGGCCCTTCCAGACTTTGATACAAGAGGTGTATCGTCAGAATCCGAATCCACTCGTCCTTTGGTATTGGTACGGCGACGTTTGCTCTGCCGGCGAGTCAGCGGAGTGCTGTGATTGGAAGAGACATGCAATCGATGTTTGGCGGGGAAAATAGTCTAGGGAGGTGGCGTACCAGTGGTTTATCATCTTCTTCGCTGCTTCCCACTTCTGCATATGACTTATTTGTAGCACGAGCTCTCGACTTTCTCTTGGATTTCGCCACACCATTCACGTCAGCATCCGGCATTTCGACGTCTCCGTCAATAGGGCCATATCGAATTGAGACTCCTGGCTTCGGTGTGCCGTTGCTTATAGGGGTGCTTGCCGACGAAGGATCGGTCGTTTTGGAGACTAGCTCTTCGGAGGGATACGAGGCTGGATTAAATTTGTTAAGAAAAGTTGGGTAAATGACACCCCCAGCAATGAAAAATGTAATTGGTAGACATATTAATGGGGAGACACTTACCATTAGAAGCACCATTTGTGTTTCTTTTCCCAACAAGGGGCACGTCATCGTCTGACGAGCTCATGGCGGAAAGAGGCAATATGGCGCGAGATTCAAAGCGAATTTGCTGGCTGAATAGCGTATAAAAAGTCGCAAATGGAACCGGATAGCCGGTTGGCCGTAACGACCTCGATACCAGGACAGCAAATCGAGGAAACGCTAAAAAGTGAGCAATGTTGGAAAAGGACAAAAGCAAAAAAGGCAAGGCACAAAGAGCATGGGCGCAGTGCAAGCCAAATGAAAACACAGAACAGGTATCAAAAGGTTAAGGAAGTGATGGAATTACAGAAGAAGTGAATATTAACACAAAAGCACGGGGAGAAACTTATTTAGGGTGAGAAGGCCGACACGAGAAAGTAGGAAGGAGAAGAACAAGAAGAAGTTGGTGTTAAAGTAGTGGTGAGTGGAGAGTGAGCGAAGCCAGCTGAGGGCCTGAAGTGGCTTAGCGCTATGAGCCTGAAAACGGCCTAGCGCAAAGTCTGTCTTTCCGACATCAAACAACCAGAAAAGCATCGAATTGCCCTCGCTTCTCCAGCACTACCTGTCCAATTGAACGCCATCTCGGTGTCCAAGACTTCGAATCTGGGAACTCCCTTGTCTGTGGCCTTCTTACTCCGTCGCCATGCTCTCGAGAGCTGCCCGTCCGGCCCTCAATGCCGGCAATGCCCTTATTCGGTTCAACTCCCTCTCCTCGGCTGGGTGGTGGCCGCGAGCCACTCCCGCAGATATAATATACTTTGCTGTCGATATACTAATCCCTTTTTTTGGTTTGAAGGTCTGCGCCGGTTAATACCGCAAACTTCGCTACCCTTCGTGAAATTGAAGGCCGCCTAAAGTCGATTAAGAACATCGAAAAGATTACCAACACGATGAAGATTGTCGCTTCTACCCGACTCAACAAGGCCCAAAGAGCTATGAGTGTCTCTCGTGCTTATGGTGAAACATCTGAGACTGTTTTTGAGAATGCTGAAACGAAGCCTCTTGAGAACAAGAAAACCCTTTTTGTTGTTGCTAGTTCTGATAAAGGCCTATGTGGTGGCATTCACTCTGGTCTCAGCAAAGCCACTCGAAGGATGATTGCTGCGCAGCCAGATGCTGATATCGTTGTTCTTGGCGAAAAATCCAAGGCCCAACTCAGTAGAACTAATGATAAGAGTATTGTCATGAGCTTCTCTGGTGTTGGAAAAGATATTCCTACTTTTGCTGATGCCCAGGCAATTGCGGATCAGATTTCGCTTTTACCAGTGGATTACTCGAGCATTAAAATTATTTACAACAAGTTCCTCAATGCCCAGAGCTATGAACCTGTCACTGTTGAGGCTTTCTCTGAAGAGGCGATCATTCAATCTCGTACGCTGCACTCCAACTAGCTCTGTTGCGTAACCCGATTATTGACATAATTTCTAGCCAATGTTGTTGCATTTGAAGTTGACGATGGTGTTCTTGCCAATCTTCGAGAATATGCACTTGCCAACAGCTTGTACTGGGCTTTGGCTGAAGGACATGCTTGTGAAATTTCAGTATGTAATGCCATATGCTCCATTCAGTATTGATCATATTAACAATTTATTGGTAGGCTCGTCGTAATGCTATGGATGTATGTTATACTTATCTATGAGACTTATTTGTATACTAATCTAATAATACAGAATGCTTCCAAAAATGCTGGAGACATGATCAGCCGGTAAGTTTTTGTGAGGTCATGTATCAGAAAGAACTGTTTTTCTAATCTGGTATGTTTTGCAGATTCCAAATTCTTTACAATAGACAGCGTCAAGCCGCTATTACTGGTGAATTAGTTGAAATTATCACTGGTGCCACTGCTAGTGAGGAGATGTAAAACGTTATTTGACTTCTTTTGGTTGTCATTGCCTGAGGGGAATGTAGATGTTTTCCATACACCTCTCCTCTAGATCATGTAAACACTATCTCGCATTGATTGCTTCCTGTATATTTTCCTAAAATAGCCGCGAGGTTTTCCTAGCCAATGCGAAATTTCCAGTGCTTTCGACACAATTAATACCCGTCGTCTATAGATCTGCTTGTATCAGTTCTGCTCAAAGCCAATCTCCCCACGTCCATGTTGCGCAACCTGCACCTGCCCTCACCCATAGCGGAATCGCGGATCTCTGCACTACCATCGGCTTACCGATTTTCCGAGCTGTTACGTAGCCATTACCACCACCTCGTAGTTTCAACGTTGGTGACAGTAACTACTACGTATTTTGACTACTACGTAGTAAGAGCTTACTACGTTGAATCTACTATATGGTAATAACAACATTTTTAAATCTAATAAGGAAATGATCAGCAGGTGAAAAATTTTCATTCATCTTTTTCAAATCTCTAAGTCACTCACTAACTCTTTTCTACAGTAGAAGCCTACGCGATTTTCTACTATCCTACTAGCTAGGCTAGCAGGCGATTTCTACTATCCTACTAGCTAGGCTAGCAGGCGATTTCTACTATCCTACTAGCTAGGCTAGTAGGCGATTCTCTACAATTCTACTAGCTAGGCTAGCAGGCGATTTCTACTATCCTACTAGCCTAGCTAGTAGGTGATTCTCTACAATCCTACTAGCTAGGCTAGCAGGCGATTTCTACTATCCTACTAGCTAGGCTAGTAGGCGATTCTCTACAATTCTACTAGCTAGGCTAGCAGGCGATTTCTACTATCCTACTAGCCTAGCTAGTAGGTGATTCTCTACAATCCTACTAGCTAGGCTAGCAGGCGATTTCTACTATCCTACTAGCTAGGCTAGCAGGCGATTTCTACTATCCTACTAGCTAGGCTAGCAGGCGATTCTCTACTATCCTACTAGCTAGGCTAGCAGGC